GGGGGAGGGGCAGAGAGAGAGGGAGACACAGAATCAGAAACAGGCTCCAGGCTCCGAGCCATCAGCCCAGAGCCCGACGCGGGGCTCGAACTCACGGACCGCGAGATCGTGACCTGGCTGAAGTCGGACGCTTAACCGACTGTGCCACCCAGGCGCCCCGAGAACTTACACTTCGGTAATGGTGAATTATAAAGGTGTTTTTCAGTCACCATAACTGAAAGCCAGAGAAACTTCAGTGCCCTTTTTGCTCCTATCATTTAGGTTATTATTCTCATCGGGAAACTGTGAATGGCTCATGGTACATTCAGGATTTGTGTGAGATGCTGGGAAAATTTGGCTCCTCCTTAGAGTTCACAGAGCTCCTCACCCTGGTGAACAGGAAAGTTTCTCAGCGCCGAGTGGACTTTTGCAAAGACCCAACTGCAATTGGAAAGAAGCAGGTTCCCTGCTTTGCCTCAATGCTTACTAAGAAGCTGTATTTCTTTCCAAAATCCAAATGATAGGAATAATTGTGTTTTATGTATCTTGTCTATATTCAAAACAGATTTTCTTGTCCTTTTATATAAATATCACTAAGGTGGAAGCTTATGGTATAGCAGTTTAAAATGTTTTAAGGTTTAATGAGAACTTAAAATAGTTGATGTTGGTATTAGACATGCTGATATTAGATGAAAGGGGTTGATATATATGAAATGAAATCCTCAGGGAATTACTATAAATAAAAATACACAAACCTTTGTAATACTTGATTTTTATAGTAAATCTCAAGGTTACTCAAAAATATCTGGAAGATTTAAATTTGTATTCTGTGAAGTTTTTATAAAAGTTTTATAATGTTTTTAAAGGTTTTTGAAACCCAGAAATTAGTTGTTTCCCCTTAATAAAATATTTGAAATCCATGTTTTAATTTTTCTAATTGACATTCTTACTCATTTGTATAATTCAGAGTTCTTGTACTTGGTCATACAAATTCATCTACATATGAATTATCACTTCTTGTATAGGTTTCAACTCTCACTTTAAAAAGCCTTTATGGAAAGATATACCATGATGATGGACTGGAAGAAATAATATTGTTAGAATGTCCACAGTGCCTAAACGATCTACAGATTCAATGTAATCCCTATCAAAATACTAATGACATTTTCATAGAACTAGAACAAAGAATCCTAAATCCAATAAATGGTATTGGGAAAAATGGACAGCTGCATGCGAAAGAATGAAACTGGGCCATATATAAAAATAAAATCAAAGTAGTTTGAAGACTTGAATGTGAGAACTGAAATCATAAAACTAGGAAGAGAATATAAGAAAAATGTAGGTAAGCTCTTGGGACACTGGTCTGAGCACCTGCCCTCAGACAAGGACAACAAAAGCAAAAATAAACAGAACTATAAAAGCTTTTACACAACAAAACTTTTTAAAAAGGCAACCTAGTGAACGGAAGAAGATATTTATAAATCACATATCTGATAAAGGATTAATATTGAAATTAATATTGAAACTATATAAGAACTCATTCAATTCAACACACACGTACACACAAAACCCCAATCTGAGTAAAAAATGGACACAGGACCTGAACAGACATTTTTCCAAAGAAGTCCTACAAACGGCCAATAGGCACATGAAAAAGATGCTCAACATCACTTATCAGGGAGATGCAAATCAAAACCATAATGAGGTATTACCTCACACCAATCAGCATAGCTAGTATGAAACATGAGTAGGATCTAAGTAAGTATTAGTTCAGATGAAACATTTCAGATAACATCTTATAATCTTAAACTATATTTAATGATAAAGATCTTCCAATTATTATGATATATTTAAAAATAAGTTAATGACAAGACGATTCTAAAGGAAGCCTAAGAAGGAAAGCGAATGCCACACACAGAGACCACTCCTCTGCAGGAGAATGAACACAACCCAGACGGACAAGGACTCTTAGCTCAAGTACCTGACTACAGTGGCAGCTGCTCGGACTCTGATGGGCGCGTCCAAGCTCCTCCCCGCATTAATCCTGGACAAGTCATGCGAATCCACAAACCAAAAATCTCCAGTGAGAACTTCAAAGAATACCTATGTTCACATTTTTTTTTAATTAACAAAAGAGATTGAAACGATCAAATCCAAAGGAACTAAGGGACTCAAAGTTCCAGTTTCTAAGTTGCAGAATCAACACATAACCGGAAAAATTTAATAACATTTAGAAATGTTAGATTAATTCTTTTCATGGACTTTCTCTCCTTGCATTCGCAAACAGTGAGTGGCGCACCTGTTTCAGGGATTCCGTAGCCTGTCAATGGGAAAAAGAAAAAGTACGTGATCAGAGAGAATGAGAAACAGGGCATTACTGCATGAGAGGAGTAAATGTATATGTAAATTTAGTGTATCCTTAGCTTAATAAACATTTATAATGACTAGTGGCAAATGTCTACAGTATTTCAGTGAATAGGGACCCTTCAGAAAAGAGGAACTTAAGGTTTTGATACATCCTTCAAGTTCTTATTATGTTCATTGTCCCTTTATAATGGTTTTTCTGTTTCTTATCTGAAAAGAAAACCACTTTGTGACCTATCCATCTCCCTTTTTCCTCAACTCTATTACCTAAAAAAAATATTTCACAGGTACTACTCTAAATCCTAAGTGCCCACTGCCATGAACTAGTTGGAAGAACATCCCTTAGGCTTCTTGGATTAGATCATTCAAATGTAAGACTGTACACTAAATAAAAATAAAATTGTTGTATTTTTCCCAAGTAGTGATTTTACAGAATTAAAAAAAAATGTTTTTTGTTTATTTATTTTGAGAGAGAGACAGAAAGTTGGGAGGAGCAGAGATGGAGGGTGAGAGAATCCCAAGCAGGCTCTGCACTGCCAACACAGAGCCCAACGCGGGGCTCGAACTCATGAACCGTGAGATCGTAACCTGAGCCCAAACCAAGAGTCAGACGCTTACCGACTCTTGGTAAGAGTCAGACGCTTATTGATCTCAGCTTGGGTCACAATCTTACGGTTCATGAGTCCGAGCCCCACATGGGGTTCTGCACTGACTGCACAGAGCCTGCTTCGGATTGTGTCTCTCCTCCTCTCTGCCCCTGCCTGCCTTGTGCATGCACCCTCTCAAAATAAAGACATAGAAAAATTATTTAAAGGTTATCTCCAATTCTTGACTTACAAATTTA